TTGAACTTTCGATTATGTCAAATAGAATTTCCGATGCTGGAGCTCCCAAAGGATCTACAAAGCAAAAGTATGTTTCGATGTCCATCAAACAAAAAGTGGAATTGCTGCAAAAAATGGATAAAAACATGAAGAAGGTGACAGAGAGGTTAGTGAAAACGAAAAAAATTCGATTGACAAGTTAGTCGGTGTTCTCGGCACAGCAATTACGGGACTCGAACAGCGGAACTTTGTAACTGAACAAGAAATTATGTCTGTTTATACAATTAAAGAGAAAGTATTATCACATAAAAAGAAGCAACTTAAACAACTTACATTGAAAGAAATGTTTAATAAAGTAAACAAATAAATTTTAAGCTTTTTTTTTTTTTTTTTGTAAATTTTGATTCCCTTTAGATCATAAGTGTTCTTTATTTCATAAATTACGGTTTCATATTTTGAATTTTATAATTTCTGCATGCCATCTTACCAGATTTAAACTGATGATCTATAATCCGGAAAAATCGATAATCCGGAATCTCCGAAGTCCCGACGAGTCTGGATTAACGACTTTTGACTGTATTTGTAATCCTTTATACCTTCATAAAACAAATGCTAAACTGAATAATGTCGTAAAAGTAGTACTAAACAATGTAAGAGTAATGCAATTTGAAAATAAGGGAGCAATTTAAATACCCATTACTTCATTTGCTAAAGCAATTTTAGTTTGCATAAGATTGCTGTGAATGCGGATACAAAATGTAAATTTTAATTATTCCCCCCCCCAAAAAAAAAAAAGAAAAAGAAACAAATTATCTAAATTTTGAGAGGAGTGATTTTAACAAGTTGCCACAAATGTTATTTCTGTAAAATATGTGATGCAAATTTTGATTATTATTTTCACATGTATTATTAAAAAGGAAAAATAAAATTACATTATTTTGTTGCTAATTATTTTTATTTTAACACCTAGCTGGGCATTAATGTATTAGTAACAACATATGTGGTTTTCCACTTGTCGTTTCTTGTGTACATGCTATGTTTCCATTCAGTTATTGATTTAAATTACTGCCAAAGGCCATCGTAACATCTGCGATGTATTTCATCCAAACCAGTTTCTCCAAAATCTCTATCAAAAACTGTAGAAATAGAAGTTTATTAATTTAACTATTTTGCGATAAATGTATAAATAGTGATATTTTTCAGTATAATAGATATAGGCAATAGAGACTATATGGCGTCCTTACTTAGAAAAAAATTGTGGTAGTTCTAAAATAGACTTAAAATATTAATATTCATAAATAATCATTCATAAATATTTTTTTAATCACTGAATCCAAATTTTTAACTTCCCGTCACTTCTTTTTCCCTTCGCCAAAATGTCATAAGACTTATTTTGTTTACTTTCTGAATTTTTAGCTATTCTTTCCGAAAAACAAAAAATATTACCTGATATTTAAAAAAAAATTGCAGCTAATGCGAGGAGAATTTATGGTGGGAAGTTAAAAATTTGAATTCAGCAACTTCAAAAATATAAAGTAGGCCTCTTTCCATAGCTGTCATTAATCTATCTCCTCGCCGATGAAAACTGAATGAAGTATTGCTGAGTTAATAACTACTCGCCAGTGAAATTGAATAACATATTGCTACATCAGCGGCTACTAGACAATAAAAATTGAATAATGTATTGCTATATCAGCGGCTGCTAATTTTCAAATTTAAAAAGTGCACTAATAGATCGTTAACTGCCAATATGTTAATAAAATAACCATATACATTGAAGGTGTTACATTTCCAATACAATGTATTTCCTAATAAGTAAAAATAATGTATAAAATAACTATCTGAAACTTTAATGAGAAAGGATCCCTTCATGCTGTGTTTGAAAATAAATTTAGTTGCATAGGTAATTTCAGTTAAATTTGTAGGAATTGCCAAAATAACTTTAATAATGTAGAGTTGTATTTTTTGTTTTAAGCATATTTTGATATTAAATTTCTGATGCCGGCTGGTACAGCAGTTGTACCAGGAGAATGACTTTCTCAGATGCCGGCATTGGTACAACTGTCTTACCATCCATGCCCTCCCCATTTTAGAGAATCGCCTATCTGTAGATCTCTGGGTGGTCTATTGTCGCTGCTCAGAGTAGCCGCTGGCTACGCATTATTTCCCTCTTCTTATCAGTTTGGCTACATTTTGGCAAAAACCGCAGGTTTCGTCTCGTGCCAATATACTTGAAAATCAAATAGAGGCCATCTCTTTCTCAATCTGTCTCATAATTTTAATGCTAATTTTTTTAGTACTGACTTTTGGTATGATTAAAACATTAGCGATTTTGCACACTCTTTAAGCTTACCATATTTAATGTTTTTTATTCATAACAAATAAAAATAGATTAATATTTTAGATTTAATGCTCTTCTAGAAAATAGGTAAAACCGCTTTTATTGTTTACTTCATACTTATGAATAATAAGATTTTATTTTGACATTTTTTTGTGGAGTGCATAAAACTCTTACGAACTGTTAACTCTTTCAAATTGCTTCTATTATGTAGGCAATTTTGTCTGATTTATCAGGAGATAAATAAGAGACAATTGTATGCATAATAGTTTTTGTGATTTTCATTCATTCAGTGATTGCTTTCAATGATTTTCATTGATTTTAAATTAAATAAAATCAATTTATCTTTAGACCCTCTTTTAGGATGAGATCTGTCAAAAAGTATTTAAATATCAGTAAAGCTCACGTTACTTCTAAATTGAATCAAAACATCAGTTACATTTGTATAAAATTTCGGCCAGTTTTATTTGCTGAAATTCTTATACTCCTCAAGAGATACAGGGAATTCAGACAAGTGAATAAAAAAATATCTTTAAAAAAGGTTGTTATTTTGTCTGTAATAAAGTGTATATCAACTTACTATTAAATGTATGAAAATTAGGATTGGATTACGGAAAAGCACACGAACGCTATCTGCTGAAGGGAATGGATGCTTTCGTGTAAACCTTTTTAAGAGAAAATTGCTCACATTTACGTTCCTGGTCGAAAACTCCACATGCAATCAACCCGTTCTTCGGGTTTGATTGGATTAATTTTGTTCGCTTACTGAATTACATCAAAGCACACAACAATTACCTGTACATAAGGTGGGATGGTTATGCCTTCGCGGATGACTTTCTAAGAGAAGCTGGCTTGCATTTACGTTAAACCCAAAAACCATGAATCCAACCCTTTAGCCGGGATTCAAACCTCGAGCTAGCTACAAGTGTTCAGCCACCTTTACCGCTCTACTGAAGGGGCCGTAAAAAAAAAATTGATAAAGAAAAAGTATTGAAATAACCGGTTTAATTTACTAACCTATATTTTCTCAATCGACAGTACATAAATTAGGCATATGAGGGGATTATTTGTGAATAAATAAAGCTGTGTATTGCACTTTTTCTCCACTATTTTCATATTACGATGGAATTATTGCATTTCAAAGTTATTTCTCATGAATTAATTTTTTGCTCCGTTCATGATTTTTTATATTTTCAAAGAGAAAATTCCAATTTTCACACTTTAAAAAAAATACACAAGAAGATACTTTATGCAAAATTTGGCGTAAACGGTTTTCTTAATTTTGCTTTGAAAATATTCCAGGGTAATCATTTTCATTACTGGAAGAAATGTGAAAAACAGATTTACTACATTGTGTCAACACCCAGTATGTCCTTATTCTTTTGAAAACGTGAAAGATTACTCTTTCTAAAATAAATTAGAAAATAATTATGTGCAAAATAGAATATTCGTTGAAAATGAAATAGACTTCAACTTTGGATATACGATGGTTTTAGACGAAATTTCTACTATGAAAGAATTGACGTATAATTAATTCTTCATGAACATTTAAAACTGTTCTCAAAATTCTCTATAACGATGGTTTTTAGATGAAATTTCTACCTATGAAAAGAATTAATAATCTTCATGAACATTTAAAATGTTCTCAAAATTCTTTTGATGATTGCATGTATAGGTCACGGAATTTTTTCTCTGCTAACGTAAACAAAAGCCAATTTTACAAAGAAAAATTCTCGTTAAAGATATACCTTCTTTGCCTGATAGTCCAATGTAATATTTGTTAAAGTTAAATGATTAAACGCAACCAATGTATCTCGGATTTTGATTTTTATATTATAATAACAAAATTATTGAAAAAAGCAGATTTAAATCTCTGTTATTGTTATGTAAAGCTTTATTATTGCTGTAAGTTCTTCATCTCAAAATCTAATTGTATTGAATCTCATTCTAATCATCTAATGGCAATAAATATTATTATTATTATTTCATTAAATTAGTCATTACCATTATTTTATTAATGAAAATATGTTATTAAAAATCGCATTCCAGCCTGCAGACTTACAAATCGAGTCCGTATTTACTATATTTTGTTAAATTTTGTTCTCACTTTCTAATTTCTAATACGAAAATACGTGAATATAAATGAAGAGTGAAAACAAAGTTAAAAAATTCACAAATTATTTACGAGATTGATTAGAAATAGTGAGTGAAATATAAACATTGCATACATTTTGTTCTAAATAAATTGTGCACTGGATATGCATCCAGTACTGCATATTTATTAATGCACTATTTATTTAGAACTTCATTTAAATGAAAGCAAAGTAATTATCGAAAAAATTGCAAATCTAGCAATCCCTCTACTATGGGACGTAAGCGTCCGACAAACATGTAAATTTTACTTCATCCATGGAGGGGGACTAATGACTTTTCTCATTAGGAAAATGTCAAAGAGGGGGCAAAACTGTTTCGGATCGCGCGGGTCTGAAGGCTGTATCATGAGAATTTCGGCCCGCTTTTAGAAGGTTAATGCATTCAGATTGTGTGGTAATAGGCAATCTGCCAAAATTTTAAAAAATTTTTAATGCAGTTTTTGATTATTTATTTGTAACTAAATTGGTGATTTTATAACATTTTATTGTTTCCAAATTATAATTTGATTTTGTTTAATATATAGCCATAATTCAGAAACTCAATCTTGTATGTGAACCAGATCTATGTTTAGCCATTCATAAATATTTGATGACATCTCAAGATAAATGGCAGATGCCTGGCTTAAAGTCAATCTTCCAATTAGCATGGGGTATTACTCTAAGGACTTTGTCTCAGTTTCCAGTTGGCTCTCTTGGTATGGAAATTAACCATCTCATTTCTAATTTTCACATTTATACTTACTAATTTTCACATTTTATAAGTAATTTGCCTTGTTTCTACATGTTAAGATTTCTAAATAGCTTTTTTTTTTTTTTTTTTTGTTTCTAGGTGGAAAAGTTGGGGATTGTTTAGAAGAAGATGAGCAGACTGTTGATATTGCCATTGAAGAGGGTTCTTTTCAAGCTATGAGGAACTTGATTGTGAAAAGTTCTGTTTTTCATGAACAAGTAATTGTTAGATTTTATTGAGCAATATTATTTTCATGAGTAAATAGTTTAAAACTGTCATAGAGGCTACCCTTTTAAAGGCTTCTTTGAAGTTTTTAAGATTTGACCATACGTTCCTTTAATCCCTCAGTCTCCATTAACGTTAGTGCTTCTATATGTATACTCCATTACAAGTTAATCATAATTTTTAACTTTCAATGTAAAACCATTCTAGATTTGTTTTCATACAAAATGTATTAAGAAATGTGATTAATGAGAAAATAATGTACATTTGGTTGCTGTAGTGGTGTGCACTACTAGAAGGCGTAATGTGACAATCTATCCAAATATCTATCTAAAAATCCTTAATTAATTTACATGTGCCCAACACAGTCAAAAGTTTTTAATCCGGACTCATTGGAACTTCGACGATTCCGGATTATAGATCATCAGTTTAAATCTGTTAAGATGGCATGCAGAAATTATAAAATTAAAAATAGGAAACCGTAATTTATGAAATAAAGAGCAATTATGATCTAAAGGGTATCAAAATTAAAAAAAAAAAGCTTTATATTTATTTGTTTACTTTATTAAACATGTCTTTCAACGCGCACATGCGTAAAGCATACATTACGCATAGTCGAAATTAGAAAATTGCAACCAGTAAACTATTTGATGTGTATTCGTGATATTCATAATGACGAGGAATTTGATTTAAATCACATCAAAGATGGAGTACATCCAGATGAAATACTACATTTAGTAAGGGATTATAAGCCGAATAAAATAAAAACATCTGCCCTGAAGATAAGGATAGTGCTGATAGATCAATTTCCAGTTCATTGCACGTGCGTCGTTCCCCCCCCCCAGAGCAGCGTGAAATTGATAAACATATTTCGGAATGATTAGAGAATCAAAGTGTACGTATCCAAATGATCAGAAGGTTGTTGATGCTTGTTCCTTGATCTATTGCACCAAGATATTTTACTGTACATTTATTTACAATTTATTTACAAGTCGTATGCCACCTGGCATATTTACAAGCGTTATGCTTTCTGGCATGTACATGATAGACATATTCTGCCACCTGGCATGTGAATTGATACATCATACTAGTTTTCTGCCACCTGACAGATACGATGCAATTACCTCAATTAGCGGTAATACGCCCGACATTTTGGCGTGTCCGCTTCCCTTACGTTCTGTAACCCAACTAACCCTTTGTGCGGTGCCTTTCTGGGCACAAATCACAAATCACCGCAATCACCGAGGAGGCCAAAACATCCTTCCCCCCCCCCCCCGATGAATTACATTCATCTTAATACAATCTTCAATATATGCAAACAAGTAAATGAAAAATATAGAAACTGAAAACATACAAAACCTTCAAAAAGTATAAAATTACATGTTGCACTTACCAATCTTCTAGCAAAACATCTTATAGCTATCTTACTATATTGAAGCGTTAACTATGAGGGTTAAACTAGAACAAACAAATAAAATTATTAGTACAATAAGAAATGAAAAAAATAATAAAACATATTCAATATAAACAAACACTTAAGTTAATGTTCTTCAACTGGTAAAAGACACAGTTTTGTAATAGGACGTTTAATGTCCCCGTGCACAGTTTTTAGTCTAACCACTCGGACATTATTGTCTCTTTCCAGGAAACACTTCTATTACTTTACTCGCCCGAGTTTCCAACGTAATGAAGGCATATTATCTTCTTTAATGATAACCAAGTCATTTAGTCAAATATTTCTGCTAGGCTGTCTTCATTTGCTACGCTGCTGTAGTTGGTACAGGTACTCTTTAGACCACCGCTTCCAAAACCCTTGGAACATCTGCTGTGTTAGTTGCCATCTTTGCAATGGAGACACTCGTACTTGGTTAAATCTTGTTCCGGAACAGCTGTTAAAGAAGTCTCTATAATAAAGTGTCCAGGAGTCAAAGCTGTCAAATCATTGGGATCACTGGAGACCGGTGTTATTGGCCTTGAATTTAAGCATGCTTCAATTTGTGCAATTAGAGTTAGAAACTCTTCATAAGTCAAAATTTGAGTTCAACACATTTCTTTAGATGCAGCTTCATAGATCTAACAGCTGCCTCCCATATACCACCATGATGTGGAGCAGCTGGCGGGTTGAATATCCACCTTTTTTTTTCATTTGCTAACCACCTTTGAAATTCTGAGGTTGACTCGACAGATGAAACTGCTTCCTTGAGGATTTTATTTGAACCTATAAAATTAGTTCCACAATCACTTCTTATTTCTTGAGGTTTTCCTCTCCTCGAAGCGAATCATTTTAGAGCAGCTAGGAATGCTTCACTTGATAAGTCGCTAGCAATCTCTAAATGGATAGCCTTTGTAGCTAAACAAACGAAAATACAGATATAACATGTAATTGGTCTTATACCTCTTCCCCTTTTCATTTTCACAGAAAATGGGCCGGCATAATCAACGCCAACCTTTGAAAAGGTTCTACTTGGAATCACTCTACTTGCAGGTAGTTCTCCCATTAATTGAATAGGTGTTACTGCTCATACTCTGCAACATTTTATGCATTTCCAAATGCATTTTTTAATTTCATTCTTTGCACTTATTATCCAGTATTTTCTGTCTTATTGCGGATAACTTTAAATGCAACCCTCCGTGTAAATGTTTTTCGTGATAATGCTGTATCATTAATTTTGTGAAGTGATTATTATTTGGCAATATAATGGGATGTTTACTTTCTCTGGTAATTTCTGCGTTTCTTAATCTACCTCCTACTCCTACTCTTAAAATTTCGTTTTCATCTAGAAATGGATTAAGTGAAATGATTTTGCTTTTAGTTTTAATCGGTTGTTCTGTCTTTAAAGCCTTAATTTCTTCTGAAAATTCATTAAGTTGAACATTTCTTATAATAAATTCTGAAGCCTTCCGCATAACTCATAGGCGGTAAGCACACCAGATTGCTTTTCACGAGCGGATTTACAGTTGTTCACGAAGCGCAGAACATAAGCCATTATTCCCAGTACTTTGGTTAAATTTCCGTACAGTTCAAGATTTAGTAACGGTTCTGTAGATTCCACAAGTGTTTTCAAAGTAACACATTTACGTTCTTCACTAACGTTTTGCAAGTCAGCTTCGGTATTCATTTCGTTTATGTGATGTCGAATATCTACTTCTGAAAGCCAGGGTGGCCCAGAAAACCAATCACTATCATTAATTAGAGCTTCAGCATCCATCCCCCTCGTAAGTTTATCAGCAGGGTTTGTCTTCCCACTGCAAAAGTACCAGTTGTTTAAAATTTGTTTCTCTCCTTGATTTCTAACACACGATTTCTAACAAATTGTTTCCACTCGTTGGCAGATCCCTTGATCCAGTGAATGCAAATTTGGGAATCAGTCCAGTAAAATATATTTCCCTTATCCAACTGCGGAAATATCGATTGCAAATACGAACCTAATCTTGCAGAAATTAATGTTCCCAAAAGTTCAAGCCTAGGGAGTGTTACCCTTTTAATGGAGCCAAACGGGATTTCGACACTATGAAACTTGTTTTACATTTATTTTTCTTCTTAAATCTAAAATATGCTACAGCACCATAACACTTGGGACTGGCATCAGAAAATATGTGAACTGAACTTCTATAAACTTCCAACACATATCACTGAAGTACTGTCTGGGAATTTCGAAAAACTTTATTTTTTTCAACTTCTTTTAACCATTCCTGAAATATGAATTCTGTATCAAGGGGAACACTTTCGTCCCATTGAATACCCTTTTCCCACATAGTTTGCATTAAGAGTTTAATTCGAACAGTAAATGGATTCAAAATTCAAGGGAATAATAATTCATAATTCCTAAGATGGATCAAAGATCAAACAGCATACCACATGCTGCTAAAATGATGCATTTAGTTACTTTGAGATTTTGTAACTTCTCAAACTGAGATACATCTATTTTCAAATTATCATTGACATTGTCCCAGATAAGACCTAAAACTTTCAACGGTACCAAAGAGTCTTCAGATGTTTCACGAGAGTCAGTTCCATTAAGTTTCCATAGTTCATTCAGCTCAAGTGAGTTTGAAACCCATCTATGTAAATTCATACTGGCCTCGCTAAGAATGAAAATCATGTCCTTGCTTAAATGTAAGGCCTTTGCTGCATTAACTGTCCCAGAAATTAAATCATCTACATAAAGCTCTTTTAACATACTGCATGCCTCTTCGTAGGCATCTTCATACTTTTTTAAATGCAGTCTTACTGTAGCTGTTAATAAATAAGGTGAGCACTTGACCCCGAAAGGAACTCGATTGTGTTGAAGAACTTGTAAGTTGGGAATTACTGTGATCGAGATTTGACTCCTTCTTCATTTATCCACAAAAACTTTAAAAAATCCCTATCTTCTTTAGCTAAGCCTACCTCTAAAAATGCACGCTGAATGTCGGCACAAAACGCAATTGAATGTACCCTGAATTTAATGATAATCTTTAGCAAATCAGGATTTAAATTAGGTCCGCTTTCCAAACAATCATTAAGTGATAAATTTCCCTTACTTTTAGAAGAAGCTTCAAAAACTATTCGAAGCTTTGTAGAATCCTTCTGCTTGCGCACTACTACCGCGTGATGAGGCATGTAATACCGTGTTTTCAAACTACTATTTAAATACGTATCTACCCGTTCCACTATACCATCTCTCAAGTGTTCATTAATTATCTCATTATATTTTAAATATAGCTCGCTATTTTTCTGAAACTTATTATTTAAAAATTGTAAACGCTGTTTCGCGATTTCATAATTGTTATTTAAACCTTCAACACCCTCTTTCCACAATAATCGAGTTTCATACCTTTTATTCTTGTAAGTTGTATTTCGTTCAAATGACTCTAAAATTTCTTTATCTGATAGAGATATTTCTTTATCCGAACTTATCCCAATTGCTTCTAATTCCCATAATTTTTTAACTCTTTCATAATCTAAGTCCTCATTTACAACGGTTATATGATTAACTCTTGCGTCCTTACACTT